ATATCCCAGTTTTAACAACGTCCTCCTTTCTATTAGTGAATATATTATCAATTATTGTTGCACTTTGGGTTGTGACCCTGGTAGGTTTGTTTATCAAAGGAACCAAACCTAAACTATATATCATATCAAAAAAATCACTTGATGTTCTCATATCCACAGGATGTTCTAAGTTAATGTTAAAGTCCCCACACATAAACAATGTTTTGTTTTTAATATGATCCACAAACTCATTTATTTTATCTGTAAATGACCTGATGCAAGAACCGGGTGCTCTATATACACAACTGGTTATTATATTTTTTGATGTGGCATTGATAATTTCCACTGTTACCATTTCCATAACATTATCTTCCATCATAGTCATTTTCTTATCTAATTTACATTTTAAATCATTGTTAATGTACAGGGCAACGCCACCACCCCATTTATTTATTCTATTTACAAAATGAAGTTCATACCCTTCTATTTGTACTTCAGTCATCCTTTCATCATAAAGCCATGTCTCAGTAATGGCAATGACTTTGAATTTACTTTTAAATTTACCTAAATAGTCCTTTATTCTTGACATCTTGGAAACAAAACTTCTGTTTATGTGTATGATTGATAATGAATCATTGTTAATTAACCCACTATTTAGCTGATCTTCTGCATAATAATTACTATTTATATTTAACTCAAATAAACTTTCGTCTATTTTACTGTCAAGTTCATATATTTTCTCATGGGAATTCATTTATTCTTTATGAATTCATTTGTACTTCCATATACATAGTTAAACTGTTTCCACTATCCATTCTTTAGTCAGTGCTACACAATAAATCATCTTTTACTCTGCAACACTTCCAGATCTTTCAACTCTTTGATCATTTTTGCATTTAGACCTTCTTGCTCTCTAATCCATACAACACCATTTCTTGTCCACGTGGCTGTGATTTTTTTTTCTCAGCACCCTCGCTTCTTTGGCTATTGTTTCATTCTTTTTCGTCAGGTGTTCATTTATGTACACATTTGTACCTTTCAGTTTTTTTGCTTGCCTCAACAACTCATTTCTGTACTTCCTACTGGTAAATCACACTATGATGACTTGTTTTAATTTGTCTGCCTTTCTTGGAAGGGTATGACAGATTGATATTGCATCACTTTGGATATTAATGTTCTTACTGTGCAAGAAGCTCAACACTTGTTGTTCTAGTGACTGGAGTTCTTCCTGTGGAGCATCCTCAGTTGTGTTTCTATCTCCAGTAACTCTGGCATAAGTCCTATGTCTTGTTTCCAAACCAGTTATCACCAAGTCATCCCTTCTGGTATACTGCTCCAGTTCCAATACCATGATCTTCTTGTCCTTTTCTGCAAGCTTGAATTTCAGTGTCTTGACCTCATCCATTAATGACAGTAGTTGATCCTGTTGTACTGTTAGCTTAGACAGCTCGGCTGACATAAAATTCAATGATTTTTTAATTTTGGGATCATATGTTTGTAAGTCTGACTCCAGAGCAGTCATGACCCTCACCACACATCACTGCCTTCCAGAGACCACAGCAAAGGTTTTGATTAAACGATTAATCTGTCACGGTGCACAGCTGAGTTGAATGGAGGGGAGGATCCAAGTGCGGGGAAGAAGGCAGGCAGGAATGTTTAAAGAGGTTTTAATGATAAGCATTGTTGGTCTTTCTTCTGTTAGACCAAGCACAGTTACGGAGAAGATGGAGTTAAACACCTTTTGAGTTGGCAGAATGTGGAGTCAAATGATCAGAAGTCCAGTCACTGTTTTCACCGCTCATGAGGGGGAGAGGCTTGCAACTTCCAGCAGATCCCTCGATCTGCTCCTGACAGTTGCTTCAGACACTCTCTCCGTTCTGCTGAAACGGCTGATTTTTATTGAGAAGTACAGGAATGTGACATACGCAGTTTGCCATACACACACGTAATTCTGCCATCTGCACCTGCAGACGCACGTCAGCTAATAGCCTTGTTAATGAAAGACCAATTCATCCCAAGGACATGCAACCTTGAGATGACCAGGACACATCCTGCAACATCCTTTGCTAACAAAGACAGTTGTTCTTGTATTGAGGAACTGAAGGAAGGAACACTTTCACTCCCTTTTGGAGTTCCTGCAGCTGTTTAGAGCTCGTGCAGGAGAGAAGCACAGAGAGGCCTTTGATATTATAACATGATTCCATAATGAAAAAAGTAGCATATAACAATGAATAATAAAAGAGCTTATATGAGAGTTACATATATTTTCAATCCCCCTTTTGAACTCTTTTAAGAGTTCAACAAAGATATAAGAAATCAAAACAATAACACCAAATTCCATCAAAAAGAATCCAATAAGCAAAGTTTTAAAATACAAATACAAACAATCAATCAGATTACAGCTTCTCATATTTCCAGCAGTAAACTAATACAAAAAACATGATCATATTTTTAACTGAACATGTTACAACATGAATGGATCGTATGCTCACCCGTATGAGGGTGAAAAACCCTAATTGTCGTACGTTAATAGGGACAATTCCCCCATGTCCTCCCATTTTGGGACGAACGCCTTTTGGCACAGAGTGGGCATGCCTAGCTCAACAATGATCAAAAAATAAAAACAACATAATCAAAAACTCATGGAAATAAACAGGTGAAGGGATTATAACAAAATCTTTTCCAGCCAATTCAGTTTACTTGGATCCAAAGCTAATGGAAAGAATTGTCGTTGGATTATGTAACCCTCTGAATCTTCTTCCGGCCAGGACAAGTGAGTGATCAATATGTACATTAAGTTTTTAGAAATGCAATGAGCGCAAACATATATCTAATACTAAACAGGTAAATGAGTAATAATATAAAATGAGTAGAGGGTGTAAAATATAACCCTTGTAAAATAAATGAGGGTGTTAAATAGAACCCTAGTAAAATGTTCGAAGGGTGGTTACTTCTTCCCCCTGTTGAGGTCCTTTCACTGGCTCCAGGCAGCTGCAGGGGGTGATGATGTCACGATTCTCGTCCCGCAGGATGTGGTGGCAGCTTGGCACGCTACTGCAGTCAGCTACTTCTCTTCCTGGTCCTTTGGTCCTTTTTCTGGTCAGGCAGATGTCAGCTGCTTCTCTTCCTGGTCAGGATCCCTTTGTGACAGGTTCTCTTGAACCTCAGTCAGGGTGCGGTGTGGCTCTTCTGCTGCAGCACACTGGGTCCAATGGTACCAGGAGTCTCCTTTACCGTCCAGCCGGACAGCGTGTGACGTCCTCTCCGTGATCCTGTATGGCCCGGTCCACCTTGGTTCCGTCCACTTTCTTTTGGTGACCTTCAGCAGGACCCAGACGCCTGGCACCGAAGGCGAAGTATCTTCGTGTGTGTGGTTTTGGTCCAATGAAGGCTTTCTCGGCTTGTGCAGTCCAATTGATCTTGGCAGATAGTTGGTAGGAAGATTCACACTCCGGCCGGACCAGAAGTTCCCCGAACCGATCGCCTAGGGATTAATGGTTATGCATAAAAATGTCCTAACTCTTACTGACCCTAGCCTCTGATACCTTCAACATCAGACACATACAGTTACGAACAGCAAGCGCAATTAAAGGTACAGTGACATCACGACATGGACACACACGGACACACAAACACATACACATGCACATACACAGAGAGAGAAAGAGAGAGTAAGAATGTGTGTGGGAGAAAGAAATGAGTGGGATCCACTTTGCCACCAGCATCTCCACCTGTGTCACAGAGAAAAAATTACAAAGAAATTAAAACATAAAGTAAATGACAATAATTCAATGAGTATAAATGATCAAACTAAAATATACAACCATGCATGGGTTTTATAACAGTTCCAGCAACACTGGAGATGATGCCTTGTACAATGAATTCTTAAGATGTCCTTCATCAATTAGAGGTTATAGCCAAATTGTTTCAGGATCCTGAAGTTGAATTGGTCAATTTACTCAGAATAGCCCAATGGCTTTGTTGATGCTTCTCAAGGCTCGGCCACGCCCATATAGATAAATAAACAAACAAACAAGACAAACACAGTCAAACACACGGTCCATACACGTCTCTGTGCCCTCACACACCAAGCAAATGTCAGACTGAAGCGAAAGTGTGAAAACACTTAACCTAACGCTAAATCAGTGGAAAGAAAAAATAATACCTAAAGCGTGTGATCAAATTAATCCAACAACACTTCCCATAACTGCCGTTCTAAACTCATGTTGCGGTGTGATCTCTCCAATTAGAAATTAGGACAACCACTTTACTATCAATTCAACCAAATAGTTTCAGGTTGTCCCTTACCTAAACTACCTGTCTTTCTTACCTTCTTTCTTTCTTTCTTTCTTTCTTTCTTTCTTTTCTTTAAGAACACTACTCGCACAAAAAATCCTAAGAATTAATTCACTACTTAAGGTTAATTCATAAATAACGAAACTGCAGTTACAGGTTTGTTTGTGCATAGTATTGGTAATCAGCAGTTTTTCCTTATCTCCTCATCTAGAAGTGTGTTTCTGTGCTACTTCTCCATCTATAACACAATTTAGTATCATCCTTAAAGCGTCTGAAATTAAGCTGCATTGCTAAATCAATAACGTGATTTGTGCTAAGAAATACTCCCTTACCCTCTTCCTTTTTCCAGTGGCACTTGACTCTACGACAGATTTAGATCAGTTTAACGTTTTATTACTATTACGTTTCATTTAATTAATTTTGCTTTTTCTCTCTTATTTTTATCTATTTATTTATTTAAGTTATTTACTTATTTATCATGCCATCCTGTGATGATAATCTTAAAGACTTTTTAGCCAATTGTCGTCAAAAAGGCCAATTAAAAATGTTATGTTAAAGATTTCACAAGATGAAAAATGTGAACATAATTTTTATCGAGTGAGGGGTACCATTTATTCAATATCTTGTAACATTATTTTCTACCACACTATTGTCTCGGATAAGATGTTCCATGAATCATTTAGTCAGCTGAATGCCAAATTATTCATTTAATTGTTATTTTTTTTTGCAATGAATGGAATGGGATGGAACTGTTCAAAAATTTGCGCATGTTTGCTCGAAGGAGAAAACTGTTCAAGCCTAAAGCGTTCTCCTAGACTTATAAATAGACACCGTTTCCTTAACCAATGAAAATAAGTGATGACGCTGATGTATTCCTTTTTGAAAAGAAAGTGAGGCTTTACTGCATGTCCGCTGCAGCTGAGAATCCTAAGACAATAAAGATTATATTGACGTCCAATGGTGAGTTGGGCTGAAATCCAGGTTACTAATCCTATTATTTATTTATTTATTGTTATTATTATTATCTTTTTTTTTCTTTAGGCTAACTTGCTCAGTTAACTATGTTCTACAGTAGTTTAGTAAATTTTCCACAGTTCTGACATTTCATCAATTCAACTGGTTGTTGCCAAAAAGCCTTGTTCATTACCTGACTGCAGCAAGCACTCTTTTACTGTGTGTAACCATAGGAAACAGTCTCTTTTGAGCCTCTCTTTGTAAGTCCAGGATGACCACCGTCATTGATTAAAGTTCACATGTTAGCACACATGCTCCTCCCCTTTTGTACTTTGTTTCATCAGCAGCAGGGCAAATAAGTTTCTGCCTCTTTGTCCATCTTGTAGTGCTCCCCGTCTTGATGTTATAAGTCACAGCTTTTGGTGAGGGCTTCCAGGTTCTCTTTGTATAGAAGTCAGACCCAAACATTCTTTGCAGCTGGTTGTGACAGGCCCACCCAGTAAAGTTCATGCCCGCCACAATGCACAGCAAACGTTTTCCTTAAATATGTTGATTGGGTTGAAATGACAGAACTTTCTCTTTTACAAATCAAAATTAACGATGGTTTCTAATAATTAGTCGACTTTATTGACTCAAAGGTAAATCTGAACTACTTCCTATGCAAAATTTGTTCTGAATCATCAAATCAGTTCTACACAGGTTTTAAACATTAGGCACAATCTATCCCAAATGCAAGATCCCTTCTTTCATTTTTTTATTTATCTATTTTATTTTGGGAAAATAACTACCAGTTTTAACTCAAAACAGCCTGGTACAGTTTCTAGCCAGGTTACAGGAAATAGTACTTAGTTTATCTGTTTTTTCATTATTCAGCGTCTCAAAATCCAGCCATTAACGTTAATGGTTCTTAAAGTTGAGGCAAGACAATTATTGGATTTTGTGTTATAGCAAGATTTAACAAATATTTTATTTCCTGACTGATTATTTGTTAATTTTATGGTTTTCATAAAGATGATCCTGAGAAGTTCAGAGCTGCTTTTCGCAGCACCCTGTGCTATTTTTAGACTATGGGATTCTTGTGTGTAAAAGTGAGTGGAGTCAGGTCCCCAGGCTGAAACTCCAGTCATTCTCACTAGATCTGTCCGAGAGGAAGGATCTCCTGAATACCCTAACCAGAAGCCTTAAGGTACGTCCAAAACACCGAAAAATATCCTTTCTAAAGTCACAAATTGCTTAAAACTGCATGTTACACAGAAAAACAGAGAGAGCGAGAGAGTCCAGCTGACTTCACGGCCCATAATCAGACAAAATACTTCCTTTATAACCACAACCATACAACTTTTGTATTTTAAAGGATTTTCTTGTCATCACACTAACGATAAATTCTTTTTCTATTGTTTTTACAGTCTCTTGAACTAAATAACCGTCTAGCAAAAACATGGACCGCACCCTGTTTCTCAAGCAGCTGCTCCCTCTATTAAAAACTGCGTCATTCAGGAGAAGATCCAGCGAAAGCAGCATTTACTTCTCATGCAAGAAGACACACATTCACTCACTCACACAACGGCACAGACGACATTCTTTCTGTTTGTCAAAGTCTTTTAAACAAAAGTAAGTCAGTCCGTCACTTATTTATTCTCTTTATATATTTATATATAATATTTTAAGCACAGAATTTAAGTAACACTGCACTGGTTATTTTCAGAATTTAATGCTTACTATGCTTTTAAGCAGGCCTTATGTAACATTAGAGCAAATCCAATTGCAATTTTTGAGAGCGCTCTGAGAAACAGTTTGTATATTTATTTTCTGCAGATCTGTTTCGATTTTACTGTTTAGCAGCTATCTGACTTTATGTATATGTATATCCATATATTTCTAAAATAAAGCTGTCATATACAACCTTACTTGCGTTTCTTATTGGGTTTTTTTTTTTTTTTTCCTTTTTCATCTCCCGGCCACTTAACCCCCAGATCGGGGTCCCTCACATGCTGCCCCGCACACAAATGATTATCACGCTTGTACACTACATATGTATATATATGTATACACATATACATACATACACACATACATATACATATGTTACTTTAAAAACCTTTTATTTATTAACTTATGGTGTTCTGTTCAAAGACTGATCAGAACAGGGTTGCAGAATTTGAATTTTGTGTAGCTCCAAACATTAATTTTAGCACTGCAGTGTAATTTACATATACGAGTTGCAACTTTTTAAAGCTCTTATTTATCTTATTCATTTATTTTCTGGTACCGCATCAGGCCTTCACACACACATCCAGCGCTGTCCACACACACACACACGGAGCTCCCAAAACTCGGCTCTGCGTTCTGCACTCTCCTAGTGCTGCACTTTCAATCCAGAGCCGTAAGCAGCCTCTTGCTGCGCCTCACACACGCACAGGCTGAACTCAGCTTACACACACAGTGAAGCTTCTCTACAGCTGTGCTTTTTTTAAATTTATTTATCAGTTACTTGGTACCTTTAAAGGTCCAAAAATTTTGTTAGAATTTTAGGAGATCTCTTTTTACCTCCTAGGGCCTCAAACCCAACTTTTCTTGTCTCATAAAAGGTCCCAGACCTTGTACATTAGAACATTTTTTTCTCATTTCATGCAAAGGTCCTCGACCAATAGAATTTAGGGAGCTCTTCTCTAGCCTCCCAGGGCCCTAACCCGAACCAGGTCCTCGACCTGTGCTATAAAATTTAGGGAGCTCTCTTTAGCCTCCCAGGGCCTTAACCCGAACCAGGTCCTCGACCTGTGGACTTTTAGGGTTCCCACCCCTATGGAATCCTAGCCAAGCGTTATATAACCTCGTTATATTTTCTATTCACTCGTCAGCAAATAGTGTGGTCAGCCACGACCTGGAAAATGGATTTTAGGGCTTTTCTAATAACCCTGGGCCTCCAACCCCTTTTTCTGTTCTATTTCCTTATCTTTATCATTAAACCATTGTAAAAATCCTTATCTTATTTTACCATTAAACCTTTACAAAAAAAATCTCTTATTACTTCTGCACTTGTCTCCACTTTCTTCTCCAACAATTATTTTAGGACCACAGCTACTATGATTCTGGACACAAAGGCTTTGGATAAATCCAATGAGCAGTTTTTAGAAATAAGGTTCTGCTCACCTTGTTTTCCACCGCGGTGTTTTGTGCCAAGATCGTTCGCTGGGTCGGTTGGTCAAATCGTCCTCCAAAAACTCCTTTTTCTTCAAAAAGAAAAAAATCCTGTTCGTGACGCCAAATTTGTTGGTCTTTCTTCTGTTAGACTAAGCACAGGTACGGAGAAGATGGAGTTAAACACCTTTTGAGTTGGCAGAATGTGGAGTCAAATGATCAGAAGTCCAGTCACTGTTTTCACCGCTCATGAGGGGGAGAGGCTTGCAACTTCCAGCAGATCCCTCGATCTGCTCCTGACAGTTGCTTCAGACACTCTCTCCGTTCTGCTGAAACGGCTGATTTTTATTGAGAAGTACAGGAATGTGACATACGCAGTTTGCCATACACACACGTAATTCTGCCATCTGCACCTGCAGACACACGTCAGCTAATAGCCTTGTTAATGAAAGACCAATTCATCCCAAGGACATGCAACCTTGAGATGACCAGGACACATCCTGCAACATCCTTTGCTAACAAAGACAGTTGTTCTTGTATTGAGGAACTGAAGGAAGGAACACTTTCACTCCCTTTTGGAGTTCCTGCAGCTGTTTAGAGCTCGTGCAGGAGAGAAGCACAGAGAGGCCTTTGATATTATAACATGATTCCATAATGAAAAAAGTAGCATTAACAATGAATAATAAAAGAGCTTATATGAGAGTTACATATATTTTCAGCATGCAGAACATGGAAACAATGGACAGTCAAGGAACACAGAACTGGGAGGGTTTAAATTAGGGATGAGCATTTTTGACGAATACGAGCATGACACGAGTAAAACTAGTAATTATCTGTAATCGTGCTGAAGGAAAATCCTCATTGGGTAACTGACTGTCTTCACGCTCTGTGATTGGCCAGTCACATAGAGCGCCCGCCCCTCCCTACACACAAAACTCTCTAGCCGGCTGGGAGTAGAGGGCTGCATTGGGATTGGGTCCCGCCGGGTCCCGCGGGACCCAACACAAATCTCGCGGGAGCGGGCAGTTTGAATTTTGCTGCGGGCGGGAATGGTCGGTTAAAAAAACAGTGCGGGATCGGGATAAGCATGATGGAGTCGGCAACTGACGTTGAAAAGAAGCTGAAACAAGGTCTTCATGACACGAAAATCAAGCAAGGCAAGTCAGACATTTGGAGGAGTTTCTCAATTGTTTGTGACAAAGCTGGAAACGAATTGGACTTTGTCAGTTGCAACAAATGTGCAAAAATACTAGTCTACAATGGACACAAATCCGGCACCTCTGGCTTGAGGCGGCACTCCTGCTCTGTTCTCCCCGGTCAAAGTAAGTTGCTTTTCAAGAATAAACCACTTCTCCCTGCACAAATTAAACAAGAAACTACTGAGAAATGTGTGGAAGTGTGCTGCGCAGACATACGGCCATATGATTTTGTTGCCGGGAAAGGCTTTGTTGACATAGCACAACATTTTGTTAATGTTGATGCTAAATATGGCAAATTTGATGTAAAAGATATTTTACCTCATCCAACCACTGTATCCAGACATGTCGAGGGGCGAGCAACAGCGCTGCAGGCGTCAGTGGCAGCGGAGATAAGGCCCATCATTGAAACGTACGGATGCGCCATCACAACAGATATCTGGACGGAGGATTATCATAAAATGTCATTTATATCCGGCACCATCCATTATGCAAACAACGACTTCAACCTAGTTTCCAGGGTGTTATTTGCGGCTCCCTTCGAGAGTGGTGTGTCACAAACAGGGGACAATATCAGGAACCTGCTCTTCCAGAAACTCCGTGAGTTTGGAATAGATGCAACACTTCTGTCTGGCCATGTTGTGTTTGTCACTGACCGTGGAGCCAACATAGTTGCTGCCCTGCGTGGATACATGAGGCTGAACTGCAACGCGCACATCCTGAACGTCATTCTGTCTAGTGCATTTTCACCAGGCATGTTGGCTGAAACTGCTGAGCTGTCTGAACTGTTGACCAATGCAAAAAAAAACTGGTGAAATATTTCAAACATTCAGGTCTGCAAAACAACTTGAAAAAATCTCTCAAGCAGTCAGTCGAGACCTGATGGAATTCAAATTATGACATGTTGGATTCCACACTTCAACAGCATGAGGAAATCTCCACATTACTGCTGAGCAATAAACAATATGAAAGAATTGTGCAGATCAATGGAAACACTCTGAAAACAGTAGTTGCATTTCTTAAGTTATTTAAGGATGCTACTAATGACCTAGAATCCGACAACTCCACTCCCAGCGCATCACTTCCACTGCTGTGGTCTGTGAGACTAATTGAACACTGCCAAGCTGCATCCCACGAGCCCTTGCTCTCTAAAGTCGCCAATGTGTGTGCCTCACGTCCGGAAGAACTTATGGGCACCAGTGACACATCTGCATCCCCTCTCCACATGATGTACAGGATTGCAACACTGCTGATTCCTAAAATGCGACAGCTATGGATGCTGCCCTCAGACGCAAGAGAAGATGTAATTAAAGGTATGCTGCCTAGCGTTTTATAAATCAGAAAATGGCATGCAATGCAGTTATAATTAAAATTATAATTAAAATGAATTTTAAAAATAGAAGGAGAAATAAGAATGAATGAGAGGCATAATAGCTAAATGAATGACACGAGCCATTTTTAAAATAAATATTAATTAATATACGAATAAAATCCTTTTTTAAAGGTGCAAAGGATATTATTCAGAAGATGCAGTTTGACCTGGTCCCAGCCACAGCAGAGGATGAGCCATCACCAGCCAAAAAGCAAAGCACAGAACGATTCGCAGACTGGGAAGATGACGCGTCATTTGCATCAGCGCCAAAGTCGGTCGATGATGAAATTTCTGAATATCTCACCTGCCGGCTCTCTGACAACCCAGACCCAAACAACGTGCTTCAATGGTGGAAGTTCAACAAAGAGCGGTTCCAAGTGCTCTCAAAGCTGGCGAATTTCATTTTCAGTATCCCGGCATCCAGTGCGCCTTCAGAGCGCGCATTCAGTGTCTGTGGGCGCATCTTGGAAGAGAGACGCACAGGATTGGGACCGCAGTCGGTCAGTCACATTCTCTTCCTTCACAGCAATATTCCAACCAAGTGATTAATTAGTAAATTTAATTTTTTGGTTTTTATAAGTTATCTTTGTTATTTATTAGTGTTATTTGAGCCACTCAATCTGTTGCTATTTGTTAATTAGGTAAGGTAAGGTGAGGTAATAATTTCTCCGGGTTTTGCGGTTGCGGACGGGAGTGGACATGCACACTGCGGGTGCAGGCGGGAGTGTAACACATGTTGCGGTTGCGGGCGGGAGTGGACATGCACACTGCGGGTGTGGGCGGGAGTGTAACACACACATTGCGGTTGCGGGCGGTAATGGTCAGAAATTCAGCGGGAGCGGGCAGGAGCGGGATGAAGAAAACAGTCCCGCGCAGGGCTCTAACCGGGAGCTCAGTCCATCCGGCTCATCCACGCACACACACAGACAGTAATGGATCTCGCTGTGATTGCTTCACTGTTGCTCACATTTTTTCAGTTCCTAGGTTTTCTTCAGCTCGCCTCTTTTTCGGTTGAATATTTAAAGTTACTTTTTTTGTAACTTACATGGTGCATTTGACAAGACAGAGCTGACGTGCTGTGTCTCTACCTCCGCTCCGGTCGGGTTTTTAATTTTTTTGAACTCCCTCTCTCCCTCTCTCTCTCTCACACACACACACACACACACACACACACACACACACACACACACACACACACACA